GCAGAGGTCTCGGGCTGCCGCCGCCCCCGCCACCCAGTGGTTCTCCCGGCCCGGACCTCCCTGACCGCGATCCCCGGGCCGGGATCCGGGAGCTGGGACCCAGCTCCTGGAGCTACGCGAGGTCTGAGCTCGGCTCCTGGCGCACCAAGGTCGTGGCTGCGCTCTCAGACCACACAGGGACTCCTGGCCCATTTCTGTGTATCTTAAAGCAAGCTTTGTGTTCTTCTTCCTGAGTGTATGCAGCACCCAAGAATTTAGCCAGTATCAAAAAATCGCTCCTCCCTCTGGCTTTGGAACCTTTCTCCAAAACCAACTCTGCAAGCCGCGTTGGGATAGGGAGCCGCTGAGCTGGCGGATCGCTCCATCTGCTGGCCGCCTTTGGTATTGCAGCTACCTTTTTTGTAGTCAAAGTACAAAATCCGATTACCTGGGCCCTTCAACCTTTGATTCACCATGCCAAACGGAAACAAGGAGAGAGTGACAGCGTGAAAAGGAAATTCCGACTCCAGTTAACACCTGGTCTCCACATGTACTTTTTAGATTTTTTTGCAGTCAGTGGCTGGTCATGGAGCCCTGGGCGCTGAAGACCCCGGCGGCACTGTGGGTTGCCCCCGGGGGTTACAGCACCTGTCCCTGTCCCCAACCCCCACGGAGGCAGAATCAGTGAGCAGAGCTGCTCTTCTGCCCAGGCGACGGCCCAGCTCTGCTGTCTGTGCTCCATCTTGCTGTGTGGTGGACAGAGTGGAGAAAGAGTGTTCTGTTTTCAGAAAGCAGGGAAAGCAAATACACAAATCCAGGGACAACACTTCACATCTTGTGGGATGCACAGGAAACTGCAGTCTGTCGGTGGCGTGCCTCTTCGGAGGCTCGCAGCCCTGGTGAGTTCCTCAGCCTGGGCTGCGCAGGTCTCCTGCCTCCCAGTGTGCATGTGTGTGCGTGCATGCGTCCTCGGGTAGATCCCACAAGGTCCAGAGACTTCTGTGAGTGTGTTAGGGTTTCAGCAAGGGAATATGTTTACTATAGGATACCTAGTGTAATAATATCATTTTATGATAATTACCCAAAAAAGTCAAATGCAAAGGAGTTCAAGAGACGAACCATACACTAGGGGCCCAAAGAATCCAGCCAAGGGCCTGGATCCCAGCAGTTTCCCACACAAATCCAGCTGAAGGCCTAGAGTCCAAGGCAGCGTCCTCAAATCCAGCCAGTGGCCTAGAGCCCATGGAAATGCCTCACGCTTGTCTGTATTGAGGATCTGCACCTGGAAGGTCCAAAGGCCAGTGGTGGAAGCCAGAAAACGTACAGTGAGATGAAGGATCTGTGTCACCAGGCTGAAAGATCCACACTGGAGCCAGGAAGTGATGCTCATGGTAAAGATCAGAGCTCCCCCGATAAGAACAGCAGCCATTCCCAGTGACAGTGAGGCCCTGAGCCCCTCCTTGGGCAAGAACAGCCACATTTGCAGCAGGACAACCATCCACTGCAAGCTTCTCCTAGAAAGTCAACAGCCAAGATCTTCCCCTCCAGGTCTCCTTTATGGCTGTTGGTAACAGTCTCAGGTGGGTCCTCCATGTCTGGCCACGCTGACTCCGTCCAGCTGGGCATTCCAAGGAAACCATTTGTTAGCTAACCTACTACAGTGCGTTATTGTGGTGCATCAAATTGTCATGACAGAACTTGCATTTTAGAGGCCCTAGCAAGAAAGGCCAGCACATTTTTTCAAAATAAACACTTTATATACATTTTTTTGAGTCAGGGTCTTGCTATTAGCCCAGGCTGGCCTCAAATTTCTGATCCCCTTCCTTGGCCTCCAGAGTGCTGGGGTTACAGGTGCCCTCCCCCAGCTGTTTACGTATTTCAAGTTCTTTCTCTCGTTAGTAGAAGAAAAGCTCATCCTTGCATGGCTCTATAAAGATACAGGCAGATCCCAGCACGACAAACCAGAAGTCAGTAAAGATCGTTGATCACAGAAAGTCCTGCAGCGTGTGGCGGTGGTGGTCATATAACTTTGTGGTTATACCCAAAGTCCACTGAACCAATCATTCACATGGTTCAGTTTATGGTATGTGAATTCTATCCCAACAAAACCATTTAAAGCCGGGCATGGTGGCACACAGCTGTGATCCCACCACTCCGGGAGGCTGGGGCAGGCAGATGGCAAGTTTGAGTCCAGCCTGGGCAACTTAGTGGCTCAAAAAGAAAAAATATGGGAGGATGGGGCTTGGGATGTAGCTCAGTTCCTAGGATCTGGGTTCAGTCCCCAGAAAAACCAAAGCAATCACACACTAACGTGATGACAGTGGTTTTCTGCATGGTGGAATTTTAGGCAACTTTTATTTTCTCCTTGAGCTTTCATGGATTTTGTGTGTTCCCTAAAATAACTACATCCTAGCAATGATAACAAGAGTTCCCAGACTTTTATTTAATGATCTGTGGTTTTAATACATGAAATATACAGCTATGTTAGGTGCACACAGTGGGATATTTAGAACCGAGGGAATTCTGCCCTGGGCTGCGTTGTAGACAAACCTGTGGGCTGATGCTGAGTGAGGTGAGCCAACCACAAAGGAAAGATGCATGGGTCCTACTTATCGGGACTCTGCAGGCAGAGTGACAGGAATGGCGCTGCCAGGGCTAGGCTGGGCTGGGCTCAGGGTCAGCGCAGGGGAGCAGATTTCCATCCAAGGGAGGAGGGAGTCGGGAGTGGATGGTGGGGAATGATGTGAACAGTGCCTGCCCTTCTGTCTCTCTCAGTTGGGTCTACAGTTCATGAACAGCCCTTTCAAAGAGGCAGGGACAGAACTTCTCCACGCAGTCAGATCTCCCAGCACCTGCTATGAAGCCACTCATCTTCCTCCCGGGTCCCCCAAACACGTGGTCATAGCTGTCACCTCACCTTCGTCTCAGGCAGGATGCAAAGCTGCAGTTTTCCCAAGGCCACCACAGCCCAGCTTCCCCTCCACACAGGCCCAGGGTGGCTTCCCTGAAACATTCACAATGTAGAGGATCCTAAAAAAAGAGTGGGTTTGGTTCCCATTCCAGGGACGTCCGGCCTCCAAACACTTCTAAGGGGGACAAACGAAGCCCTCGCCAGTGATGATTGCGCTGATCCCCAGGAGAGGGAGACTAGGCCATGGCTCCCACTTCCAGATGGTCCAGCACCGGAGGTGACAGGAGGCTAGCGTGGTCCCCAGGGTCAAGGACCAGGAGGGAGTGTGGGCTCTAGGAGTGGTGGGGAGAGAAGGGGGAGCAGGAGGAAGGCAGCCAGGGCACTTCCTGACCTTGCCACCCCTGGAGCTGAGGTCCTGGGAGCCGCACAGAGCCTGCCCTGTGTCCTGCCCGTGGCTGCAGGCTCCCCGAGCCCACCTTGAGTGCGTCTCCTGCAGCTTCTGTCCCTGTCCGTGTCGGCTGCCGAGAGGTGCCAACCTGCCTAAACCATGAAGAAGTTATTTCCCAACACGGGCAAAGAATCATGACGAAAACAAAATCAGGCCATGTGGGCTGGGCTGCTTAGACTGTGCGACCAGGGCCTCCTTGGGTTGAGGTTCCAGCTGCTGTGGAGGACAGGGCATTGGGGCTGTGGACCTCGGGACACAGGAGGGAGGAGCCAGCTGTGCAGGTCTGGGAGCACAGAGGAGCTCACGACTGCGGCCACATGCAACCTTCGAAGATGCTACAGGCGTGGACTTGTGATGACGCCCTAGGCCTCTGTGAGGTCAGTGAGGCAGAACCAGGGGCAGGGGCGGGGCGGGGCGGGGCCAGTGGAGAGTGGCTGGGACTCAGGCAGCTTAGTCAGAGCGGGGAGCAAGGAGGAGGGAGGCAAAGTACATTTTGTGGGTAGAAACCTGAGCCTTAATCAGGTTATAGGGAGGTGGGTAGTAAACCGGAGAGGACTGTCAGGTTGGGCAGAGTGGACGGTGGGGCCGCCTGCTTACTCTGTGGGTCAGCGTCTTCACAGAAGTTAGGGAATGTTGAGATTTCTGTTCCACGACCCGATGGATGCCTCATAATCCCTTCCCTCAGCAGGAGGGTTGTCCCCTTCTATTCAAAGTCGGGCAGTGCTAGAGAAGGTTCCCCTCTGACCAAAACGACAAGAGGGGAAGGATGATGAGGTGCAGACAAGGGTGTGGTTAGGGCCACGACCGGGAGGGTGGGCCAGGACTCGGACGGGGCCAGCGCGCTGCTCACGATGAGGAGAGGCCGGGAGCCCAGAGCAAAGAACGGGGAGATTCACCATCTTGTGACAGACGAGCCAAGGCAGAGCAGGGCAGCACCGGTGTTTCCCCGTGGCTCCCTCAGCTGCTCTGTTTTCACAGGGAGGAGTCAGATACTGGCTGGGTCAATGAGACTGGACACTGTCAGATGAGCACCGAGGAGGTAGGTATTGGCAAGGGACCATCCTGAGGAGCATTCAGACGGGCCTAGGATGGCTGCATTATTGGCCGGTTCTCTAGGCCAGAGGTAGCAGAGCCCCGTGTCCCTGCAGGCAGGAAGAGATGGGGCCCTGGGGGCTGCTCAGTCCCAGAAGCTGGACAGAGGATAGGGGACCAAGAGCACAGTGACCCTGGAGCATTGCTGAGTCCATATGGAAAGGCTGAAGATGCAGGGGTCTGATGGTCACAGCAGCCCCCAGGCGTACCTGCGTGTGAGGGGGGGGTGGGGGCTTCCTGCAGATGAGTCTCCCCTGAGCCAGGAAACCCCTCGAGTCCTTGGATGCTCAGAGGGGTCTCTCCATCTGGGCTCACGGACAAGCAAGAGGAGCCCAGAAGCCTGCCCTGGTCACGTGACACCGACCATCTCCTTGGACCACACCCACTCTCCTAGGAGACAGAACAAAGCCATGGGTCAGCACGATGTTGCTGGACACACACATTCCTCCTGGGACGGAGGCCTCCCCACCCGACAGTCCTCCTACACAGCTCAGAGAACCACCATGGGGACTCTGCTAAGCTCTGCTCGGGCCTGGGGACCCACAGGACCTTGGCTAAGCCCCACGATCACCTGGCCTCCTGGGCACTCTGACCAGAGGGCCACAGTGACCTTCTGGACCTCCCCAGAATCAGTGCTGGTTCAGACCCAGGGTCCACTGGTCCCTGAGGGTCTGATTGTGGACTGTCACCTGGGAAGAGGCTGTGGGTCCCTTCTGGGAAGAGGGCAAAGGTGACCAGAGTAACTGTGTCCTCTTCCTCGGGGACCTAGCTTCCCTTTCTCCCCGGGTCGGGCCTGGGGACTGGCGCAGGGCTGAGGGTTTCAGCGGGTGTGACTCAAGGTGAAAGAGGTGGACTCTTGGTCTTTGGCTCTCTCGTAGGTGTCCTGTCAGTTCTGGGCACTTTTGGGAACCCCGTGATTATGCACAGACCCTTATGACCCAGGTTGGCCTCTGCTGTCGTCTTGGTTAGTGCACCTGGCCTTTGGCGGCTTAGCGCTGCCACTCGGTTCTGCCACCTTGGGGTCCAGTTAAACTCATGGTCTTTAGGGTCCCCAGCTGAGGGCTGTGGTCCCCACCTCAAGATCTGGGAGTTCTGGGCACTTTTGGGAACCCCGTGATTATGCACAGACCCTTATGACCCAGGTTGGCCTCTGCTGTCGTCTTGGTTAGTGCACCTGGCCTTTGGCGGCTTAGCGCTGCCACTCGGTTCTGCCACCTTGGGGTCCAGTTAAACTCATGGTCTTTAGGGTCCCCAGCTGAGGGCTGTGGTCCCCACCTCAAGATCTGGGGTATGGAGGAGAGCAATGGGGCCCCTTGGGGATATGGGCACCCCACACCAGCCTGTTTCTTGGGCACTCCTCTGGCCCTACCCAGCCAGGTGAAGCCACTCCAGCATCCTCTCAGCAGCTGTAAACCCAGTGATGCCAGGCATCTCCAGCTCTCAGCCAACCACCTGTGAATCCAGGCCTCCACCATGCAGCCCTTCATCCCTGGACTCCCGGTACAGTTCCATACTGGTCGGGGCTCTGATTATGCGGGAGGACTCAGTAGCTTACAGGATCAGAGGCTGAAGAGGCTGCCTGAACCTCTGAGAGACCAAGGATCCAGAGGCTTAAGTCAAGGAACTGGAGAAACCAGAGATGCAGCCCTGTCCGCCTTGAAAGCTGAAGCTCTGGGAGCCACCCACCAGCAGGAACACGGCTTCCTCCCTCCTCCCTGGCCTGCTCCACCCCGACGGATGAGCTGCCAGGATCGAGGCCACAGCTGCAGCCACACACACCCATGTGGGCGCCACCACCTCCGGCGGGCACCTCAGCCCTGGTAAGCTGGTGGTTGAGACTGCCCAACCCCAGGGCTCAAAAGAAATGAGCAATTATTATTAATGAAGGAAAAGCAAAAAGTGAGGGGCTCCCTACACGTGGAAAGGGGAGGACGGGGGTTGAAAAGTACCAAGCTTTCTAAGCAATACCTCAGACACCGCGGCTTCCTTAACCAGGGCCACACCTGAGCCAGCGGGACATGAGGTTGAAACCCCGAAATATGGTTCTAGGTTTCTTAGGGTTTCCAGCTCCACCCAGTGTGTGCAGGCGAGGACCACCAGCTCTCCAGTGAGCTAGATCCCCCACCCCACTTTTCTGGGACAGAGTCTCACTAAATCACTAAATTGCCCATGCTGGGCTCAAACTTGTGATCCTTCTGCCTCAGCCTCCTAGAGTGTGGGGATTTCAGCACGAATTCTCATGCCCAACTGTCCTGGGTTCTTCAGTGGGAATAGCACTGTGTATTGTGTGGCCATTAAGGGTTTTAGGGAACCCAGTCACTACTTCTTTCAGACTAGAGCCTTCAGGTAACCCTGTAAGTCAGAGATAGCAAATCTTTTAGAGCTTTCAATGATACAGCCTGCTGCAGCCTGAGTGCCATAGGTTCCCACCACCGCTCTAAGCAAATGCTTTTTTTCTGTACCAGGGATTGAACTCAGGACCTGTGCTAAATCCCCAGCCCTAAGTGAATGCTTTTGAGGCAGATCATGATGTGGCAAAACTGGCTGGGGAAGTGGGTGTGACACATTAACTGAAATCCCAGACGCGTGGCAGAACACTTCCCAAAGCCCTGCATGTGACTTCTCACGAGAACTCTGCAGGTGTTTGACAGGACCTGCCTCACTTGTGGAGTGGGAGGTCTGGAGGATGGTCCACACTGAGCTTTTGGGCACGGTGTTCTCCCTGCATGGGGTCCATGCTCAGGCTGCAGGTGTGCTTTTTCCACCTTCACTTGGCCCAAATTCACTCTGCAGAGCTTGTTTCTTTTCCTATGTTTAATAAATGCAAAACTTGGCTACCATTTGCACTTGTCTTGACCAATCCTGTGTTCAGGACAGAAATAACCTGGAAACTACCTCCAGGAGGGGACTCGAGCACCCAACGTGGTGACATGAAGGCGCGGACAGGGGGCTAAGCATATTCAGCCTGCGTGGAGAGCCGACTGTGTTCCCCAGATGACAGCTTAGCGGTGTCAGCATTGTCTTGCTTCATCACCCACTCTCTGGAGGCCTCAGGCGGACATTTCTGTTCACAATAAATTCCTTGTGACAACACATGTAGATGATGACTTTATAAATATGCACGCAAGTCCTTGAAAACACAGTCCTCTCTCAGGCACAGTGAGTTGTAGCTGGTGTTTGTGGGTTGCAGTGACAAGGGCTTGGCCAACTCCATGACTGGAAAAATCCCAGGTGTGGCAAAATCACACCTGTCCACAACCCAACCTTCTTGACTTCGAGGCTGCACTGTTTGGAGCCCTGGAGTGGTAGTGGCCACGAGGGGGCGGCAGAGGACAGAGGATCGCCCAGCAACAGCTCCTCCAAGACTTTTCGCACCTCTCCCCGGACCTGTGCCCAGTCTCATCGACCTTCACCCACCCGTGGGTTGCAATGATTGTGAGCACTGTCCAGCCAGGCTCCAGCAGGCTTCCCAAGGCTGGTGGCTTAGACTGGATGTTGGGCTAAGGTTTTCCAAGTTGTTAACACATCGGGGGCACCAACACTTGGAACGGATCTTGCAATCCAGGGGAAACCTCCTTCCAGGGCTGCCGGATGGGGACTCAGGTGCCTCTGGATTCTTTGCCCACCTCCTAGACTGAGCTGTCTGTCATCCCCAGTGGGGCTCAGGTGGGTCTGGGTGCCAGGGTGAAGGACAGCAGGGGCTAAAGCTAGCTTTCCTCCGGACTATTTTTGGGTCTTGAGGCCCTTTTGAACCCTGTGTCATGGGGTTCCCTCTAGAGGAATTTGGCTCGGGGAGACTGAGCCTAAGACCTTTGCACTGAGCTCCGTCCCCAGCCCTAGTTTTGAGACAGGGTCTTGCTAAGTTTCTAAATCCTCCTGTCTCAGCCTCCCAGAATGCACCATCTCTCCTGGCTAGGACTTTGGTTTTGAATGTTAGGCTTCTCTTGTGCCTTGGATCAGCAGTACCTGGCTCTGAGAGTGTGGGCTGCACGCTGTTCACTGGTTTGAGAGGACAGCCCTGAGATTCAGCATCATGCTTCTGGTAGGGAGCAGAGCTGTGGCCACAGTGGCCCCTAATCCTATGGGCTCAGCATCAGGACTTAGACTGGGGCCTAAGAACAGTGGCTTGCAGTGGTGTCTGCACAAGCCCATGGGAGTAGGGCAGAGGCCTGCGTGTCATCCACCTGTGCAGGAAGTCAAAGGGTCCAAGGACAGCCTGGCACCTGTCCTCTGGGTAATAGCTCCTCTCCCGAGCATTTTTCCTGGAGGAGAAGTGCAGTCACTGCCCCCAGCACATTACCCTGGCCAGCCTTGTGCAGCACTCATTACTGGTTTGCTCCTTATCCTAGGTGGCACTCGGGGTCCCTTGACCCAGACAAGCACTGTGTCTGGCTCATCAGGGCAGGTCCTCCCCTGCCCGGAGGACCCCGGGCCTTGAGGATGGCAGATCCTTGTCTCCCTCGCCCTTCCCTGGGATCTGCAAGGCAGCGGGAGCCGGGCAGCAGGCAGGGCTCTTCAGGAGCCGTCCCCACAGTGCAGCTCACACCCAGCCAGCCGAGGTGCAGGTGCACTGGCCTGGCAACCAAGCCTCTCCTGCTGCCTGCCACTCCTCTGACCAGTGCCACAGCCTCCAAGGGGCTGAGGGCCCGTCTCTAGGCCCTTGCAGGAGGAGCAGCAGCGACCCCGGCCTCTACAGCCTTCACCGGCCAAGACGAGGGCCAGAGGCAGCTTTCACTCCAGCTAGGCCTCAGCAAAGGCCTCGCTCCCCACCGAGTTCCTGAGTCCAGAGACAGATTCTTCCTCACTTGCTGTTTTCCATTTCCACCTGAAGCATAAACTACTGAAGAAAAACTGGGAGGGACGAGAACTGCTCAGCTGCGACTGATGCCTGTCGCCATCATTTTCCCAGCTGGGCTCCTGGGAGCCTCCCTCTCCCTTGAGGCAGATGAACGCAGCTGGTACACTTCGCCCGGCCTGAAGCCGAGGGTGACGGCCGGGTCCACCCTGAGCTCTACTTGCTCCACAGCAGGGGTCACCCAGTCTGCTCTGTACCGAGGACCAGGCTGCCTGGACTCTGGTCCAGACGACGCTGGGTCTCCTGGCTGTGGAGCTGTGCTCTCCCCAGAACTGAGGAGAGGGAGCTTGAGAACCACAACCCTGCTCACTGACACAAGGGGTCCCCAGAAGCTCAGTGGGGACAGAGGACCTGGGGTCTCTGCCCAGACACTGGCTCAGCCCCGGCAAGGGCATCTGTGTAGCAGTCTCTGAACATGGATGTTCTGAGCCAGGGTTTCCATTTCCACAGCACTCAACAAGGGGTTGATCATTACAGTTACTGATAGAGAGGTAGGTTTTTCAATTAGCCAGAAAATGCTCCCCAAACTCTTGCTGCCCTGAGTCAAATTATAATCTTTCAAAGCTGGGTCACACCTGTAATTCTAGCACTCAGGAGGCTAAGGCAGGATTGTCTCAGTTTAAGGCCAGCTACATAGTGAGTTCAAGGACAGGCTGACCTACACAGTGAGACTCTGACTCAAAAAAAAAAACCACATATATATGATACACACACATATATAAGATCTCCCAAAAGTGAGCTTCCTCAAATTTGGCACTAAATCCAGGCATCTCATCTCCTGACAGTGCAAGTCCTTCTGGAGGCTAGGATGGGTAACAAAGTAGCAAAGTGGATCACTGAGGCCCTGGTGGAGGCCAGGGGGAAGGGCCTGTTGGGAGAATGGTATAGACACATCTCCCCATCAGGATCAGGGTAGTTTTAATGGTGCAGCTTCTATCCCTGAGCACCTACTGCTCCAGAGAGTGAAGGGGCCCGGAGCCAGGAGCCCGAGTTCTCACCTTCACAACTGTGCAGTTGGCCTCGGCTCTCACTCCCTCTGGTGAAGTCCCCAAGCAATGGTCAGTGAAACTCGAGGCTCTCCTGGTCAGCACCCCAAGCCGTCCCTGCCCAGTGCTCTAAGGACCTGAAGCCCAAGTCTCTGACCTGGACGGGGGCCAATGAACCACCTGCACTTGCAGGGTGGTGCTTGGGGCCAGGTGTACTCTGGGTTTGCGCGCTATGATAGTACCTGGCATGCAGGGACAGTGCATCAGCCAGCCAGGGAAGGCTGGGCACACACACAAAAGAGCTCTATCTGCCAAGACTTTGACCAGCCATGTCACATTCTGATAAGTTCAGTGGCAACTTTTAGTTGACTTGCAAGGAAGTGTCTCTGGCTGAGTTTATGTTTCTGCAAGTCTTCTTATTTTGAAATCAGTAAATAAAAACACGAAGTGTAACAAAAGCTTTCCTCCATTTCTGGTGTAACAGCAGCTGAACCTAATCAGAAAGTGTCTGTAGAATGACAAGTCCAACTATGAAACACAAAATGTGTACCTTACTGCTTGGATTTGGGAGCCTAACAGCTCATAAAAGAATTCAGATTTTTTTATTGTTAAGCTGCAACATACATGGTTTAATACAACAAAAAACATTTAGTCAACTGAAAATAAACAATAAACACTCAAAACAAAATATTTTCCATTGGAAACATGTTAAGATGAACACAGGGCTTCATTACCATCTGACTGCGATTTCCTTGTGTGTTTCCAGCCCACACGTCCCATGTCGCCTGCCATGCAGATGGGAATGGAAGTTTGAACGGCTGAAGAAATGAAAAGTCAGTTCGCTGCAGAGAATCATCTCACAAGGCAGCCAAGCTGGGTTTAGAGAATAAAATCATCCAAGAAACTCTCTTGCAAGTGGGCTCCTGTCAGAACCCGTGAACCTTAAGCTGCTCCTCCTTGACAATGCCAACCTGTGAAGCAAGCCATCAGCAGCCTGTGACACCTCGCCCTGCTGTCCGCAGCACTAGCCCACCCCACTCCCTCACCATCTCCACCACAGTGAGAAGCCCTACTTACACGTGGGACCAAAGGCCCCTCAGGACCACACAGGTGGCAGCAAGTCTTTCTCTTAATCACCTAATTTACTTTACTCACATGACTTTTCCCTTTAGGAAATAACTTATAAGGCTTTTAATTTCAGAAATAATTTCAAGGGTTCATCATGAGGCACCCATCCACTCACCTCCAAGAGAAACTGGCAAATGTTTTTCCTTTGGTCACCTTGAAGCTGAATAACCTCGCCGTATTCGGGATGCTCAATCACAGTACCATTACAGGCAAATTTCTGGAGAAGCACATTTACAAAGGTAACTTAGTCGATATAATCTCTTACAAGGAGGTTTTACTTCACAATTACAGAGACTACAATTACTATTTTAGTAGGCTTTCTATCTTTAAGAAACAGATTGCCTCCTAAATACTCCAACCCTCCCAAGTTAATTTGTAAACAAATGAGCAGATCATGTAAAGAAAGCTAATTTTATGTGGAACATCCAAAAGTAAGTATTTCATGCTTTATTCTGTTTGGAAGCTGTGTTTATCTCAGGGTGGGTGACCATTCTGGGAGAACAGGCACATTTCTGGGTGTTACTTACAAAAGTAAAAACACTGTTCTGGGTCCCATCGTTTTAATCCACGTTGATACACGCAAGGAAAGGTGGGACCCACAACTCCTTTGGTAGGTATGCATGCCCTCTTGCTTTCCCCCAGGACTGGAGACAGAACCCAAGTCCTCTGCACTGAGCCAAATCCCCAGCTCCTGTATTTATTGTTTCTGAGATAAGGTTTTGCTGATTTGCCCAGGCTGGGCTGGAACCTGCGCCCCTCTTGCCTCAGCTTCCCAAAGCGCTGCCCAGGCTGCTGTTTTAGCCCCTTCTGCCAGCAGCCTCTACCTTTTTGAACGCCTTCACAAGCTTCTTCTTGTCATAGTCATCCGCGATGCCCTGGACCGTGGTGAGCGTCTTCCTGCCGTTTCGCTGCTGGATCCTTATATGGATGTAATCCTCAGTCCCTGCCGGGAGTAAGTCGTCACCCTTAGTGGCATCAGCGAAGGGGTCTGCAGAGGGAACAACGACAACACCCGGGGCTGAGGCGCACCCTTCGGGAGGCTCAGCGGCCCTGGACGGCGGCGCGGGCGACAGTGGACTCCGGGATGGCAGGGGAGGAGGCGGCGGCGCGCGTC